CACTACTTACGGGCTTGTTTTCATGTTTGACCATGTATAAACGGAGATTCTCCTGTATTCGCTTGGCTTCAAGAAATAGATTTGAGCCCTCTTCCAATTTCTTTTTAGCAACAGGGGAACCCTTTCTGGCCCTCTTTATCGTACGTTTTCGTTCTTTACGAGGTTCCACTCCTTCAACTATATTATCATTCAACATAGTAAATTAAAAGTGACGTAACCTTTAAATAAAAGAAAACTTACTTATCTTTCCTAAAGAGTCTTTCTGCTTCCTAGGGAAGCTTAAGGTAGTTTTAGCTACCAAGGGATCGAATAGTTTTACTTAACACACTTTAAAACTATTTTCTGGAAAAATGTTAAGTAGTAGATAAAAGGTTATAGTGAAATAAACTTGACGAGTCTTACACTGACACTTACCTTAAGGTACGACAATGTCTAACCCAATATTTCACTACTGAAGAACTTTACAAAACGTACTACAGAAATAACACTTAAAAGAAACACTTAACCTAACAGTCCAAAACTATATACACCAATAAAACGAAATTAACAGGAACAGTAACGACAAAATAACATAATTAATGAACAAACTAACAGAAACTTATTATGAAATAGAACAATTAACACAAAAAAACACTATAAATAATTAGAAAATACGTAATCAAAAGCTATAGGCAATTACACTATAGACCTCACATAACCTTCCTCCAATGTCATTGAATAAATGGTTGTATTTCTATTTATTTAAAACAAAACTTATTGTCCTGGTTCGTAATGTTGTCGTAATTGTCCATTGTAAAAACACACCCCTTTTTATTAAATTTTCAACATCTGTCTAAAACTTTGTAAATGGCCCGATCTTATCGTAACCTACAATTTGTTTTATTACCTCATTAAATAAATTAATTTAATGCTCATACTCCTCAAATATTTTAATACTCATAAATACCCATTTGTTTTCTACTTGAATCGTAAGATAATTTGTCGAATAGTAAAACTTGGCCTACGAAAATATTGGACCGTTTGCCATGTATAAACTCAATATTTTTGTTTATATTATGTTGGGAGTGGATTATGCAAACGACCTAATATTTTTGTAGACCATCTATTTTTTTTCTCGATTTAGTGATCAAACTATCTTAAGGTTCAAGTGGAAACCAAATGAGTGTTTATGAGTTTTCATCACTTAATAAAATAGACAAATTTTGCCGATCTCCAGATTCTGATTTAGAGAATTTTCGTAAAATAAAATAGTAGTAGATTACGATGAGATGAAGCTATTCACGAAGTTTGTGCAGTAATTATAATTACACATGTAATTTGCATAAGAAGTGAAATTGAAAGGTACATTGTGGGTAATTATGTATAAAAATTCTTTATATTTTGAAATATGTAAAATTTTTAGTTATGATTGTAAATTTGAAAAAAATCAGACTTAAAAATGGCTCGACGAGCTGAAACGTCGTAATAATATGTAGTCATTAAGTTGACTATATTAAAAATTTGTGTAAAATGCCTTGAAATAAATAAATTGGAAATAAATATTATGCACCGAAGTAAAATATTGATAGATCCACCGAAGAGAGAAGTATTTAAAAAAGACGAAGTTTGCCGATGTCCATCTTCAGAGAATAAAACAATTTTAAATTATGATGAGATGAAGCTATTCATGAAGTTTGTGCAGTAATTATATTTTATTTATTTATATATAAATTAGAACGAAATTTAAAAATTTCTAAAAAAATACTGCACCATAAAAAAGTACCTAATGAGTGACTTTTTGAACCGATGAAATAATGAAATGAGGAGTTATAATACTACAGCGATCCTTATCTGAGATAAAATCTCCTTCGAGCAGCTACCATTCTTCAAAATCGTTCGGACGATGTCTCTAATTGAGCCATAAGGTGGAAATTTATTAAAAATTTCATATTCTCTATAAGCATGCAACAAAAAAAAAAGTCCATTCACTGTTAAATTTACAAAAAACAATATCGAATCTATCTAAAAGGCAACATATATTTATAAAGCTTACAATAATAATCTGAACATATAATGGGGGTATTCATACCCTTGTTGTAAATGCTTAACGTGCTACCATGCTAAGCAGTCAGCACAAATTTTGAAGGAATAGCAAATGACCTGTCTGTGCTAAGGTGTTAAAGTATTTTAAGTTATAGTATGGTTATGCTTGTACTGTAAACAAAGTTTGTGAGTTCTTAATTGGTCTAATGACGTTTTGATTTATTTTCAAAATTCCAAAGCGAAGTGAAAAGTTTCTGAATCATTTAGTTAAAAACGTTCGATTAGAAATCTAGAGTAAGATTAAGACGATTCAGAAGAGAAAAAAACTTGGTTAATACATATTCCATTTCTGTGGATATTGTACATAAACAAAGAAGACAGAATGAACCACATTAAACTCTCACAATAACCTTCATAATGCATTTACGAAATTAGCAACACTTTACAGGACCCTGGGTTGTATTAAAATCGAGAGTGCTAGCTGCTATATTTAGCACACATTTAGTAAGTAATTTTTTCACTTTTACACATTTAAGGATGTTAAAATACTTAGTATTGGTAGCATGAATACCCTAAATGCATAAGCGTGATAAGCACATTGTTTTTATGAATCAATAATAATATCTGCAAATAATGAAATGGGATGTTTTATTGTTATATAGCTAAAATCGTTTTTGTTAACCAATAATGAACAAAATATATTATTATAGAATATTTGTTACTATGATTAAGGAGATATCAGTACTAGAATAATATAAATCATTAAGTAGATTTGATTTTAACTTTGTCCTATGGTTAGTGCAGTAAGGGCCTCTAGGCGCGTTGTACCAGTTTAATCCTTTACACCTCACCGTTTTCTTTTTTAAAGGACTGATTTAGATAACCCGGCCCTTCGAGATAGGGTTTTGAAGGTAAAGGTCTACCCTACGTCAGCGTACTTTCAAGATAAGAAAGAATGTCCGTTCGGATCTCGGGCTAGTTGGATCAACCTCAACCAGCCTTATCCAACCAAATATGAAATGGACAGCTTCATATGTCCATTGGCCCGATAATTATCCAGAATTATTTACTAATTATTAAGAATAAAATATTAGTAAAATAAACTTGGATTTATAATGTTGATTGGTTGAATATAATATTGATTGGTCCAGAATTAATAAACTGGATTTATTTCCTCAAAGGCTGGTTTGTGTTTATAATGCTTTCTAATTACTTATATTACCTGAGATCATCATGATATAAGTAGGTGGCAGAATTAAAATAACTTTTAATCAAAAACGTAATTTATTTCTATATTTAATAAAAAATATATACAAATTATATTTACAAGAACGAAATACATACGTGGTTCAATGAATTTAATAATTAACTGTGAAAGCATGATTTCAGGTGGACTGTTTTGAGAATTGTAGTGCCACGAAATATTCTAACATTGGTAAATTTATAGTTTGGAATAACATTTATCTGTTGTATGTGAAGTGGTGTCGTTGCTAGATTTCATTGCTGCATCTGCTGATCCGAGGTCATCTTTTCAAGGCAAGGTCCAAAAACTTCTCTATGTTTCTATGAAGGGCGAAGGCTTCAGTCCCAAAGCCGGAACAAAATATCTGACCTATCCTCCGGGCCGAAAACCCACTTTAAGACCTCTTTTCTTCCTTGTCGGTAGATTTTATACAAAATATTCAGAGTGGGGCAAGGATGGTTTCAATTGGTTCTTAACTTCATCCTATTACTTCACAATAACTGGTAACACCCTAAAGGGAACCAGCTACTTAGTCTTCCTTCGGTCCAAGTACAGGTCTGTCCTTTATTTACCTGCTTTCTACACTTGACGCCGTTTTTGGGGTCAGAAGTAGGTTTCATTCAACTTGTCATAATAATTCTTAAAATCTCATTTGCTTAATACATTATATTCAATACATAGCAATTTATTCATTTACTGAATTGGTCTCTACCAGATAGGGTCATTGATTAATAATAAATAATCAATAATAATAGCAAAAACTAGTTGTTTTCTGTAAGCATTAAAGATTTTTTGAGGCATTAACAAGCCTACTCCATCTATGCCTTTGCCTATCTTAGACAATTTCTTTGCAGTTATACAGCTTAACTGCATCTTAGTTGATTCGATCAATCCATCTGGTTGTTGGACTTCCACGTGATGTTTAGCCTACTATCGATGTATTTATTGCCATGTGGGTTTCCAGATGGTCATTATAAGTCCCACTATTCTTAACCACAATGAAATGACAGATTGACTGACTACTTTCCGTAAACAGCTCTCCATTAGTCTTTTTTCTTCACGTGTTAATTTTCTGATCCTAGATCGTTCCGGTTATTTTGCGAAGGGTTGTTGAAAGTTCCATGACAATGTCTCACAACCACAATTAGAACTGACTTTATTATAGCATCGTACATCCGTAATTTGAGATTACTTGAGATTTGTCGGAATTTTAATACCTTTGAAAGAGAGATGAAAGCTTTGTTAGCTGTCTATTTCTATTACCTGTATATTTCCGACCGTTCGTAATTTAATTGTTGTGTTTGTTGAGCCAAGGTATTTGAATTTGTCATATCTTGGGAACGATTCCATCTTAAGCAGCTCCTATTATTGGGGTGGAATCTTCTGCTTATTATCATATATTGCGTTTTCTCTTACTTGTAGATCGATTTTCTCTACTTCTCTTATCAGAGGCTTGGCAAGTTTCTCAATATCCAGCGGTAGGGTGTCCGAATGGGCTAACGCGTGTGCACAGCACAACGAGTTGCCCGACCACCAGATAACCGATGAGAGATTAAAAAGTAAGAATTCGCGTCCGGGTGTGAGAGTGGATTTTAATTTCTTCGCCCTAACCCGTCAAGGAAAACTCCGAAAGCCTAAAAGGCGTGGTAGGGAAGAACAAAAAAAAAAAGTTTCTCAGTGCCCTCTTGATTACTACTAAGGACATATGCATATCCATTTCATGATTCGTACCCCTCTACTTTCTTGTGATGTTCTTATCAACTTCTCCAGCTCTAGGTTGAACAATATCGGTGCTAGTCCATCTCTGCTGTAAGCCAGTTCGAACTTTGAAAGTTCTTATACATTTGAAATACATTTTATTGTATTAGGACCCAATTTTAGACAGACCGATTTTCCGAGGCTTCGTTTTGTTTTTGTAGTGAGGTAGTTTTTAAAGCATATAGGTAATAGTCTTGTACCCATTCCCGAACTCGGAAGAACAGTAGAAATGGCACTTAAAAATATTGTACAATAATATGTTTATGCATCGACATGTATTACCGTTTATAAATATGGTACTTAAATATATTGTTAAAAAGTTCTCTACTACAAAGTGGGTTCAATAAAATGCATAACAGTGAACAAAGCGCTAGTAGGCGAAAGAGGTTGAGAAACTGCAAATACAAGCACATTTGGTCCCGAAAATTAACGAAATCAATATCCCGTATAATAAATAATTGATTTCCAAAATACTTGTTAATACCACCCTACTCTAAATGCCAACCCTCGTCAAAAGCTGCTGGAAGTCTAAGCCACCAATTCTTGACGCTCAGTGAATCAGCAGCTATACTGATATTTCAGTATCAACATTTCTCTGAGATGAATTCAACTGTTTGACAGTTGAGGATTTCTGCTGCCAATCATTTTATTAAACTTAATAATTAGAAAAAAAAATACAGTTGGTATGTTAATCTTGATGTGTATTTTTACTAATTCTGATTCATTAGCTAAAACAGTAAATACAATTAAATTATTACCAGCTCATCTTCGTAATCGATTTCTCTTCTACAGTTAATTATCTTACAACAGCTTACCACGCCTTTTTTAGTCAATTCCTCTCCGTTCGAAAGAATTTGTGAATGTACTTCATCGTGTTCTTAGGTCTTCCTCTTGGCCTTCTTCCTTCCAGTTTCGACTAGTATATGATTTTCGTAATTCTATCCTCCTACATCCCTTTGGCATGGTCATTCTAGCGCATCCTGAATTCTTCTATCGTATTTTCGGTGAATTTTACTCCTAAATTGGTTCATGCTAGTTTTATCCTCTATCCTCCTCAGAAACCGCATTTCCATTATTTGAAGTAGTCTTCTGTTTTTCATAAATAGTTTATATTATAGTAGAATCTGAGGTATTATAGTTTCATTGTGCAAAACAGTTTATGGTATGTAAATGATATTACGTTTTTCAGGATTGGTGAGAATGTAACTGGGTACAGATATACAGTATTTTTTTTCTGTTGGCCTCAGCAATCTTATAGACCTTTAGTGGAGTTATTTATTTATTTATTATAAACAAATATTGTATTTATAATCTTGAACAAATGGGTATTTTTCATTCCATAAAAATACATCTTTTAATTCCTCCATTGATGACATGCGGAATTTTGTAAAGCGCGATTACTAAACGTGAATAAAAAATTGATGTCCCTTAGAGTAACACGTTTTAACTGCTCATCTTTTATATAAAAAGAATTAAAAAATGAAAAAGTAATAGCCATTAAATCTGGGGACAGCATGGGGTTGGAGGTCAGTAAAAAATTCAGAGAGGGTGGTTGGGAATGGGCAAGATGCACGTGACCCGACTCGCTTTGTGGTCCCGACCATGGTTGAACTTTTTAAATTTTTGTTCTCCTGTTGGATAGTAATGTACTGCAACTTATTCCAAATAGTTCTATTAACATTTATTGAGCAGATGGATTGCACATTCCATCGACAAATTGCAAAATTAATGGTACCTAGCTTACAAGACATGGTATATAATTACATAGGAGTAATCTTTGATTAGAAACTCTTCTGGATTAACCGTATATTACACAAAAATCGATAATTTTCCTTAAAGAACTCCTGAGGTTACATGATTCTATTCCTCAAAAGACCTGACAGCTCCTTGTAATTTCCATAACTTTGACTACGGTTAGTTTGAGTATTATATTGAATAAAGTTGTATGCTGGGATGAAGAATAGATTTATGAATGGTTTCATAAGATTAATGTTTGGGTTTTCCAGGCGTTTTCGTACTTTTACTGGTACACCAAGTTGAAGTATATGAGCGCAATACACGTTATCATAGTTCCAGCAGTTCTTATAACGAGTTACTATTTTGTTGGCTAAGACGTGAAGTTGGATGATAAAACTCGATAATTATAGCAAATATCGAGACTACCATAAGACAAGGAGTACATCAACAGATGTTGGAGGGCCACGTTGTAGAAGGGGTTCCATCAACTGGGTCAAGTTGCAGGATCAAGAGCTCACCAAAGACTGATAATGCGTATCGGCTCCTCTTACACATTACTTACACTGGGATGTGGTTAGAAACCTGATGCTAGAGCATGCAGTTTATCTAAGATATGTTTATCAGATTATTTTTCTGTAACTGCTTCATTATTTCAAATTAAAAAAATTATTATTTTCTTGTTTCGACATTTTTTCATTAATAATTCTACACTTACTTTTTGCCAATAAATTCAATTCAAAAAATTACGAATATCAATTTATAGCATTATTCATAATTACGTTTTCTTTTTACGTTTCATGGTCTCTTTTTCCCCTTTTCAGCACCTAACAGTATATAAATAATGTATTATATATATATATATATATATATATATATATATATATATATATATATATATATATATATATATATATATATATATATATGAGATATTTGATTGCAGTTTCATTCAAATTTTTTTTAGATACTTATTGCAACATTTAGAGTTCTTGATGAATAACCCACAATGAAATAGTAGATTAAAAAGATTCTATTTAATAATCTTCTATTTATGCAATATATTTTAATTATTATTGATGTTTGTGATTAATACATGAATGTGTATCATTCTTAAGTTGGACGAAGGTAGTGGTGCATTTACTTTTTGCTTTATAACGAAACATACCAATTTTTCTGCGTATATATATATATATATATATATATATATATATATATATATATATATATATATTGTTTTGTCTTTTTCATTTAAATAACATTTACTTTTTATCAAAATTGTGTTATTTTTTATTTAATTTAAATTTTATTTTAACATACTTTTACTGAAGATATGGCACATATTCTTAAATGTAGATTAATGTAATTTTTGGCCAGATGTAGTATTTATTTTTTTGTTCATAACTGTTATTCATAAGGGACCTCATAACAGAATAAAGTTTATTTTATATATATTCTTTAAACTTCAATAGAAAATACCAAATAAATACAATTTCCAAAAAAATAACAATACAGAGCTTCAATATGAAGAATATTGATATGTAAGTTTTAATGAGCATTCAATAAATTAAACATATTGTTTATTTAAAACTTGCCTTAATTGAAAGGCAATAGAGTTAGGGAACACAAAACTGGTCACCATATATAATCAATTCCATTTTAATTTATTTATTTTTACTCTTCCCCCTTTCCTTTATTTTTTTAATAAACATTCATGTATTTGTTTGAAATGAAATGAAACCAATGACGTTGTTCAAAACTAAAAATTCATATTGCCTGAACCGCAACAGACATTTCTTTGAAATATATTTTGCATATAACAAAGCTAAATAAATAATAAACGTGATTCTTTTTTCAAATAGCCTCCACATTTTTTATAACTTTACTTCAATTATACTAATACTTTTCTAATAAAATTCAGCAACAACTAACTACCTTGGCAGCTAATGTGCTACGGAATTATGGACTCTTAAATTATGGAATTATGGCTATAATGATCAACCAGTCCAGAAGATTCGAGTGAAATGTAGTTAGAAAAAAATATGGAACAGTTTTGATAATATGGGAAATGTATGACGCGGAACAGCATTTGTATACAAAGATATGCATGAGTCCAATTTATTAAGTAATGCCGAAAAGACTGGCAGGCCATGATGGCTGATCGTAGAATGCCAAATAAGCTCCTGTATAGTACAATAGAGTAATATCTACCAGTAGTAACACTACTACTAGTACTATTTAGTATTACTTCTAAATATGGTACAATATCTATAGAAATTAAGGTTAGTTTATTTTCTTACCTGTGGGTAATCGCCATCTTTTGTCTGATAGTCGAACACGTAGAAGAAGGATCTGTGCGTTTTAGGGCTAGATGAGTGGATCGGTTTGCTCAAAAGGTCCCCCGTAGCGACGACTGGAGCCACGAATTGTGCATCGCTCAACGCCGCGACAGTTGCGTCCCTGGTATTGATGGGATGTAGGACTGTTCTCTCCCAATCTGTGTACTCGTTGACAACGGTGAAGAAGATCTCTGACAGATGGTAGGTATAGGCATTCCTCACGTAGGTCCTCAAGATCTTGTCCCTTCGTTCACCCTCGAATCCGGCCTGGATATCGTTAGATGAGAACCTGCCGAAGGAAGGATAATGGGTTGTGATAAATATTGAAATGAGCTAAGAGATATATTGTTCTAAATATTGAAAAACAGATCTTACTTCCATAAGGACTCGCTAGTGACGACACCGAACAAGAGATCGTACTTGATAGAACCAGCGATTGAGTCGCCAGACCTCTTAACAGCCTGAGGGCTGAAAGACATCTCTGGTAGGAGGCTGTTCCAAAGTTCTTCGTGGAAGTCAGACTTGATAACGACTCCGTCTACCGAAGGACCAAACGCCGAGAGGAATGCAGGTGCAGGGATTTCCGCCGTCATAAGATCGTTTAAGGGAACCTGAAAATAAAAAGCATATTGGATATTGGCAAATGAATGGATAATGGGTAATTTAAAACAAATAATAAATTAAAGTAAATCATACTCTTTTAAATAAGAGATTTTCTATCTAGGGATAGATAAGATCCCTAGTATAATGGGTCCAAATAATGTTTTGGTTTGCATACCTTTATTTTAATGCCAAAATACTAAAATAAATGATAAAATTACATTAATGGGTGAGCAGGAAAAGATGAGGAATCACCTGGAATGAAAAGGAAAGGAAGTGGGAAATGGACAAATTTAATTAATTTAACAAATACAATACAAATTAACATGCAATGACAGAGGAAAAGGGTATTATGAACCAGAAAGAGAGATTAAAAACTAAATACTCATTATGTTTTAATATGTAATTAATGTTTAATAATACAAAAACGAGTAAAAGAGTGTACCAGGAAAAGTGTTTGAAAAATAGAAGAAGTGAATTTGTATTATTATTATTTTTTTTTTGTAGTTGATTAAAATAAAATAAACATAATAATATATAATATATTATTATGTATGAATAGAGATCGTTATTATATATAATAATAAATCATTTTAATTACGTCAAGAAACCTATCTCATTGCATTTTAGCCACTACAATAATTTTTAGGGATTGAAATTCAAATTTTTCAAGAACAAAATCTATTAATTTTTACATAAAAAAAAAACTTAGTAGGAACATACTTCTCTCAAGCAGTCTACGATGGTTTCATAGTCTCGGTACATGTCCTCAGGCACTGTGCAGTTGACGTGCCGCGCCAATTTGACTGCGTACTCAACCGGATCCTCGACCAAAGCCCAAGAACTTAGAGCTGAGCCAGAGAGGAGGATTGCGCGATGGAACAGTCCTGCAAGAAAAAAGCTCTGATTACTTCTAAATATTACTCAATATTATAAATGGGTTGAAAAATAAAATAATAAATATAATGATCAGGACAGTGAGTTATGGACAGTGAGCATAGTGATGGACAGGACTTTAAATGTAAATAATAAGGTTCCTCGTTGATTCAAAGGTTACAGTGTTCTAGATTGAAGAAAAATGCCTTTTATTGAAACCTGTATGAATACAGTTCCAAAAAATAAAAATAAAATGCCCATCATTGTTGTTTTTACGGTGCTCTAGACATCATTATGTTTCCTACTTTCCTATTAACAGTTTTGCTAAGAGTAAGTTGAACATTTATCTTATCTTATCTGTATCGTTATATTTATAGTTAAATAGAGATTATAGAATTTTTCTAATCTAATAATTAAAATAAAATTGAATTTATGAAAGTGAAAACTTCTTTGGGTGCGTTTTGTACATTTTTGTAGGAGGTGAATTAGATGGATCCCTCAGATTTCCGGTGTTAACGCTCGGATAAGGTCGACTAATTGAAATGTTTTTTTTACATATGGATTAAAATATCTTAGAAACTAAAAATCGGGCCTGCATACTATAAGCGAGGAATTTGTTGAGCATTTCATCCTATCTTTAATAGGCTATAATTCAAAATAGTATCTTAACGTGTGGGACCTGACTGTGGTACGAACAAGGAAAAACTCACGAAATCGGTTAATTCAATTTTTTTTTTCAATTGAGCTCTTTAATAATAAAAGTGAAGAATATATAATACAAAACTCCGCGAACAACACAAGGTATCAATGAAACAGTTTATCTAATTTCGGAGTTCTAAAAAAAATATATATATATATATATATATATATATATATATATATATATATATATATATATATATATATATATATATATATATTTAGACAGATTCAAATGGATGTCGCGGGTTATCCCTTACTCGTCCCACTGTGCGCAGTGTTAGTTAGGCGGAAAGGAACAAATAGTGTCGAAAACCAAATGATAACAAGTTTAGTTCAACATATGGATTAAAATATTTCAGATACTAATAATCGAAACAGTGTACTGTAAGCGAGGAAAACGTTCAGCATTTCATCTTCTTTGTAATGAGATATTATTTACAATTTATTTTTCCTATTATTAATCTTGCCTTATTCAAGATTTCACTTCTATCGCGTTGTCTAAAGCACAGAACTTAGTTTTTCTTCGCTGTGTTTCTGATAGATTTAAGCAAAAAATACAATTATTTCAAACGTTTCAGACCCAACTTAAGATTAGAGAATTTTTTAAAAATATACGCTCACTCATTTAATCATGAGGTTATAATGATAAGCCTTGAATCTTCCTTTGAGTCAGGGAGTATCAAAAGGAGTAAGTCAGCATTTCCCGGCAGCGGTGAGGATTTAGCTCGGTTTACAAAGAGAGGTATATGGACTACTTTACACGGGTCGCGTGAGCTCCCTGAGTGCTCCTCCTACTAAAGAAGCCAAGGGTAAAGAAAGTATGTTTTCCGGCCTCCCAGCAAAAGAAGGGGCTTAAGCTACATAAGTCAGTACCTACTTAATGCACTTCATCTTAACTTTGGACACCATTAGATCTTTTTTTTATTACATCACTAGAGGGGATACTCCCTGTTTGCATAACGGCGGACCAACTCCTATTATAAAAAATACACAACTGTTCATTTAATTGCACTACTCGTTGCTCAAGTTTGTAATTTTAATTTATATATATTCTGTAGTTCAGATTGTATTATTTTTTATCAACATAAAATAAACTGAACAAAACCACAGTTCGGACAAGTTATTAATTTCGTTAATATTCTATGTTATACATCGCTCCTTATTTCCAATTCAGGAGTTATCATGGTAGGAAAGAAAAGAAAATCGCAGATCATGTCACTCTGTTAGATCCAAACTGAAAGGAAGGTAAGGTTATGTTACTTAAGGTTTGTTATGTTTAAGGTTATGTTATGTTTAAATTATGTTATTGAGGAAGGTTAATATCAAACATGTTTTTGTAATAAAAGATTTTTTTTTAATGATGGACATAACATATAAGATATAACATTATTTTTATCTGTACTTTTTGCTTCCTCCGGTCAGCTGTTTGATTATAACCTCCCTCAGCTGTTTTACCTACCTTCCAGTATGCGATCGGATGTCATGGATTGATGTAATCTTCTATTTATTTTTATTTTCTGTCCTGTTGATGCCTGAATTAGCGATACATTTGGTTTATTTTTTACTCTTTACAAGCATCATAAGGCTGTTCGTTAGAAATTACTACAATTATAACCTAAATTTGTGATAATTTTATTTATGCAAAAAAGAAATCGTGCCTTAAGCTGCTTTAAGTTTTGAATTGCTGAATTTGTTATATGTAGTTTTAGTCGTCAGATAAAAATCGAATGCATTTATTTACTTTTTCTCGAAACGCTGTGCAATCAGGTCTCTCGTACTGGAAATGACGGTTCCTCATTTGGATTGGGGTCTCACACCTCAACATTAGGATAATTGGGAACGATCCTTTGGAAAAGATACGGGTGCCGTTTCACAACCCATCCAGTTTTTTAATACTAATAGAAAAATAGCTAAGATTGGTGGAAAGTCATCTGTTTGCGAGAACTATCTGCGCCTGATTTGAGAAAAGTGATTTTAATTACATTTTTGTGATTTAAGCAGGAAGGCTAGTATAGATTAAAATGAAAAAAAAAATGATTTAGCTGATATCGGAGATGAGACATAACTGTCTTATTCACAATTAATAAGATGAAAAATCACTAAACTGGAAAAGGAGAAATAGAAGTGAACTAACATTGTCTATACATTAAAATAAGCAAGAGGCTGGAAAAGAGACAAACTGATTATGTTATAAATCCAAACTATACAGGCGTGAGTCTCTAGCATACCGGCAAAAATTTAACCTACCAATGTTTCGCCGATTCAGGAATCATCAGTACAGCAACCTTTATTTATTTATTTTTCTGTTCCGATGATGTCCGAATTGGCGGAACATTGATTGGTTAAATTTTCACCTGTATACTAGAGACTCATTCATAATTTGAATTTATCTATTTACAACATAATGTGTTTGTTTCTTTTCCAGCTAGTTGTATATTTTAATATTTTTTCTTTGTGGAATGGATGTGTATTCACACGCTGATCTATGTTGAGGAGGTGGGGAGGACTTTCTGGATGAACTCCCCCCCCCCCCAAATGGTAAAATGTAACCATGTTTTATGTAAAAAATATCTCTTGAAGTATTGTTGTTCTTGTAATCAGATATAATAGGACTTATAAAATCACTTAAACACCATTTTATATAAGTAGTTCGTATCTTTCCCCTTTCCCCCCACCCAAATTAATTATCGTTATATATATGAAAAAAAAGTTTTCGGGCTAACGCTACCCAAAATTGAATGCTATTGCATTTATCCACTAAGTTTTTCCCGGAATGGATGTTATATATACCTTGCAGCTTTTTCTTTTAAATTTAATGACTTTTTTTCTCCTTTTTTTTTTAGTTGAGTTTATTTAATTTAACACAGTTTAGTTTATTTAATTATACAAAAAGGTTTTGTATAATAATGTTTTAGTTATGCGTGTATTTTTTTCTTTGTATCCATGCTAATGAGCTGTTCAACATAACCTTCCTTAGCTGTGTTAATAGAACCTTCTCTTTTCTTCAGTAATTATGTGACTGAATAGGTGAGATGTCAAAAGTAACCTTTCATTTTTTTATATTTTCCTTGTTAAATTTTGTTTTTTCATTCTGAATATATGTGAACTTGTTTCTTCTTTCCCGTTGATGCCTCAATTTGGTAAACGTTGGCAGGTAAGCTTTTCATCTGTGTGTTTAGAGACTCGTGGATTCATAATTTGAATTTTTTCATTTATAACATAAATACGTCTATACAACTACACTAAAATAAATAGTTCAACTTTTTATTTAGTATTAAATGAAGTGAAGCTAAATATAATTTGCAAACACTTTGTTGATGGAAACCTATGAAAATCTAAAAATGGTTTCTATAGACATCTGTTGACTGGCATATGTTACTCACCAGTGTTTTATTCTGACTGTAAGAGATTTTCTCATGATTATTGTTTTATTATATTATCAGGATGGAAAATACAAGCAAATTGAAGATCACATCACTCTCCATAAGACACCCAATCGCATCCTGGAATGAAGGCAAGGTAACACATTTGAGGAAGAGTATAATCAAACAGCTGATTAAACGTGAAAATTATAGATAAAAAATATGTAATATCCAAGGAAAATCCATAAAAATTACACAAAAACAATCTGTTAATACAAAAGCATGTTTGATTATACCTTCCTCAGCTATGTGCTTGACCTCACTTTTTACCAAATCAAAATTGAAAATCATACTAACACTAAATAAATACACTTACCTACCCAAACCCGAATGGACATGCGCCACGAAAATTTACGATTCTGCAAGACGCACTTACAAAAACTACAAACATTTCAACCAAAAATTAAAAGACTGATGACAGCAGATCCCTGGTGCGTAAACAACAAAATTTTACATACCAACTTCCGTCAACAAACTATCGACCAACGTGCACTCTAATCCCGATTTTATCTTAAACCACAATGACATCACAACGTACTTATCAACGACATGGCCAAAGCGGATATGCCCTTCAGGAGACGATTGAAGAGGAGATGGATGAGAGATATACTTTCTTGAATTAAGGAAGTAAACCTTGACCGGGAAGTTAAATTACAAACATATTTATCGATAACCGGAGTAATCAGGGATCAGAACACTATCACGTGGAGAAGAAAGATCAACAAAGAATTGCTTACAGAAAATGGTCAATCAATACCCCATGATTTGAAGTCACGGAGGTTAAAATGGGCGTAGCTCGTAGCAATCCATCTAGAAGCCTCTACGTAACAACGAATGCCTCGATAGAAGGAAAACGATCACGTGATAGGCCAGAAAGCATATGAATA